AATCCCTGCTGGCCTGTGCTGCTCCCAGGAAGTCACCGTCCCCTGCCTCCGCCTGCCTCCCTCCCTCCAGGCCCCTCCTGTGGCTCCTGACCCTGGCCTGTTCCAGCCCCCCCTTGGCCTGTGATGGCTGTGTCACCCTGGCCAGCTGTCCCTGGATGTCCTAGTGATAGGGTTGCCAGGTGGATCTTCGCCGGGAACGGGGGGCTCCCGGCCAGCGTCTGGTGCGCGCGCGCACGCCGCACGCACATCACCCGGAAGTGACGGGAAGATGCCAGGCACGCTGGGGGCGGGGCCGCGGCCATCCAAGGGAAAACCATAGAGTTTTCCCTTGGAGTTCCCGCCAGGGAACGGGCCTTTGGGGCGGGGGTTTCCCCACCCCCCGGGGGGACTTGGGATCCCTACCTAGTGAGGCCTCCTCCCTGTTTCCCCCAAAGGCTGCTTCAGCAGGTGAGTCTGTGTTGGGCTGACTCTGCCTGTCTTCCTTGGCTGTTTCCACTGTTTTGCTGTTTCTGAGCCCTCCAGGACTGTACTGCCAGGCTGTATGGTTCCAGGGAGGGTTTCTTCGTGGGCACTCCATGAAATGGCTGAGCGGTCGGGTTAGAACAGATAAAAGGAAGTCCTTCTTCACCCAAAGAGTGATTCACACATGGAATTAGTCTTTTTTTTGGTATGGTGGGGGGGGGGGGGGACCTGGTCCTGGAGTTTCACACGCGTCCTAAACAACACCCATGGTACCATAGAGTTTTCAGGGCGATTGCGAGAGTGTTGCCCGGCGATATGCCCAGCGTGATGATGTCACTTCCAGGCGACATCATCGCGCTGGGCACGTCGGCCTGATCTGGCCACTTCGGGGGTGGGGTTCCCCCCGCCGGCCGGATTCAGACTGGAAGATTGGGGGCCCTTTCGGCGGGGGAATCCCCACCCTCCGGGGGGGCTTGGCAGCCCTACATGGAATTCACTGCCACAGGAGGTGGTGGCAGCTACAATCATGGACGGCTTCAAAAGGGAATTAAATAAGCATATGGAGCAGAGGTCCATCAGTGGCTGTTAGCCACAAGGTATAGATAGGAACTCTCGGTCTGGGGCAGGTGATGCTCTGTATCCTTGGTGCTTGGGGGGGGCAGCAGTGGGAGGGCTTCTACTGTCCTGGCCCCACTGCTGGACCTCCTGATGGCACCTAGTATTTTTGGCCACTGTGTGACAGAGTGTTCGACTGGATGGGCCATTGGGCTGATCCAGCATTGGCTTCTCTTAGGTTCTTATGTTTCCTGCCCTGCCAACGTTGCTGCAGCCTCCCAGTCTGGTCCAGTTTGGTGTAGTGGTTATGAGTGCGGACTATAATCTGGGACAACCGGGTTTGATTACCTACTCTTCCACATGCAGCTGCTGGTGTGACCTTGGTCAGTCACAAGTTCTTTCGGAGCTGTTCTCTCAAGGGCAGTTCTCAAAAGAGCTCTCTCAGCCCCACCTACCTCACAGGGTGTCTGTTGTGGGGAGGGGAAGGGAAAGGGATTGCAAGCCGCTCTGAGTCTCCTTCAGTAGTGAAGGGCGGGGTATAAATCCAATCTCCTCTTCTTCTTCCTGGCACTAATTTTTTTTTGGGGGGGCTCTTCCAGCCCTGATGTTGCCACAGCCTCCTGGTCATCCCCTAGAGCTGTGGGTAAATGCAGGAAGGGATTTGCCATCCCCAGACCCAAAAGGCTTTGCTGGGGATTATGGGACCTGCATGGACAAAAGCCACAATGGACGGGGGTTGTGAGAAGGAGAGGGGTAGGGGAGACTGAGCCAAACACCTTGGTGGATCCAACCCATAAAGTCGGTTAACTTTTGTACTAGGGATCACAGTGTGTATTTAGAAATCTATTATAAAACCATTAACAGCTGCAAAGGTCTTTCAGTAATAGAAAAGATCTCAGCAAGTAAATTTGAAACTTGAAAACCATGGCCGTTGTCCCCAATTTAGATGGAAGACTTATCCCATCTGAGGTAGTGGTCATGCAGTACATCTGCTGCAGACATTTTTCAGTTCCTTCACATCCCATTTCTTTGAACTAGAAGCTTGCCAAGTCCCCCCGGGGGGGCGGGGAAACCCCCGCCCCAGAGGCCCGTTCCCCGCCGCCGCCGGATCGGGCCCCGGGGGGAACTTCACCCCGACGTGCACGTCACCAGAAAGTGACGCGACCACGCCAGGCACACTGGGGGCGGGGCCACAGTCATCCGAGGGAAAACCATAGGTCGTGACCCCGCCCCCAGCGTGCCCAGTGTCGTCATGTCACTTCCTGGTGATGTGGATGTGGCGCGCGCTTTGCATGCACGGACTCTGGGATCAACCCGGGAGTCCCCTGCTCCGGAACAAGGTGAGACTTGGCAACCCTACCGGCAGACCTTCCTACAGAAGGCCTACCATCAGTTAACCAGGAAGTCTGCATTCCCCAGTCTGACTTGGGGCTGTTTATAGGTATTAATCCAGGGGTCCCCAACCTTTTTGAGCCTTTAATTCTGACACACGGGGGGGGGGGGGGGGCCCCCCAAAAAGGCACCACACATGTGAGGCAAAGCCACGCACACATACACACAAAAAGCCCAAGTGTGGGCGTAAGGGTAGGACAAGAGGAGTCATTTTTTAAAATGCACTGAGAAAGAGGAGTGAGGGAGAGTAAAGCCAACAATGCCGTGGCCGTTGCCACTGAAGCCATGCTAGTTTATTCTGCACAGCCAATCAAAAGCCTGCTGGGCAGAAGGCCCTACCCACTGTCTCAAAACACTCGGGCACTGGGAGAGGTACTGGAGGGCACCATGGGTGTCCAGGGTTACCACGTGGGGGGACCCCTGTATTAATCATTCAGATGGGATTTCAGACCCAGAAGTGCCTAGAAGGAGTGCTGGCACAAAGCTTGGACTTTCTGGGTTGAATCTCTGATAGAAAATAAATAAGAGAGCACCTGTGAAAGATTAGACCAGTGATCTGTACAATAGCGGGAAGGCTTATAGGCATGGCACAGAGGCCAAAAGATTCCGTTGTTGTTGTTGTTAATGAATCGTCCCCACCCCTGCTACTGCAGGGCTCTGGGCGATGTACCACTACAGATAAAACAAGATAAAATCAGTTAAAAGCATTCGTACAACATTAAAGACGATCAGATGGCGAATAACCAGTCCCAGCTCCCACTGCCGGATACTTCATGGACAGGGGGGAGGAGGGCAAAATAGATGTAAAGCACCAGGAACGGGGAGGGTGCCAGCCAAGGTGGAACGGTCGGTGTTACCCCTCAGAAGTGGTATTTGGAGGGTTAAATAAAGGTAAAGGTTCCCTTGCTCGAAAGCCAGTCGAGTCCGACTCTAGGGTTGCGGTGCTCATCTCCATTTCAAAGCCGAAGAGCCAGCGCTGTCCGAAGACGTTTCCGTGGTCATGTGGCCGGCATGACTAAACACCAAGGCGCACGGAACACTGTTACCTTCCCACCGAATATTTATCTACTTGCGATTTCTTGCTTTCGAACTGCTAGGTTGGCAGGAGCTGGAACTAGAGATGGGAGCTCACTCCGTTATGCAGCACCCAGGTCTCGAACTGCTGAACTACTGACCTCAGCCTGCAGTTCAGCGTCTTAACCACTTGAGCCACCGCAGCTCCCATATGGAGGGTTACTGCCTCTCAAAATGGAGGTGCACTTTTGCTGATCATGGACTATAGCCACTGACAGACCTGCCAGCTGTTGTTTTGTTTAATCCCCCTTTAAAGCTGACTAAACTGGCAGGATCTGTTGCATCCTGTGTCCAAGAGTTCCCCAGCTTAATTACTTTTCTGAGTGAAGCACTTCCTTTTTTTTCTCCCTCTCCAGAAAGCCCTTTATTGTTTCCATACTATCCTCAGAAGTCACTACATTTTGTAAAACGGCGAATGGAGGGGATCATTGATCAGTGTTTACAAAAGCCGGCGGTAAGTGTTCGTTTTGTATCGGGGTTTGATTGTCGCGGAAGCCATAGATGCTTCCTTGAGGCTGTGAGCAAGAAATCTGTTTTAGGGCGAAGTTATACAGAATTCAGTGTACCTTCTTCCCGACATGCATATGTTAACAGAAAAGCAGCCACTGAAGCCTGCAAGGAGGGAGTTGAGCGGGGGTCCCCAAATTTCTTGAGCCCGCAGGCACATTTGGAATTCTGATGTGGCATGGCTGCTGTGGGAGGCGGCGGCAGCAACAAAATGGCTGCCATGGGAGGCGGAGACAGCAACAAAATGATTGCCACAGCTTAACTTCAGTAATGCAGTTGTAGATCCTTGTGCTGTGGTGGCAGCGGCTGCTAAAGCAACATCTTTAAAAATCTGCACAGCCCATCAGAAGCCTTGCTGGGCAGAAGCCCTACCTGGCCCCACCCACTTCCTTAAAAGCCAGAAAAGGTGTCAGCAGGTGCCATGGGGACCCCCAGAGGAAGGGCGGGGGGGTACAGGAGTTCTTAAGCTTTCCTTGGACTGTCCCCCCCCTCAATTCAAAATTATTTTCTTATACCCCTTTCTTTCTCAGCCTTTCATTCTGGGAAGCTTGTGATATATTTTAAAGGCCATAATAATAATAATATCTTTTGATTTATTAATTGCTCAATCCTGCAGAGCTGCTGGCTCTGAGCGATTTACAGTTACACATATTAACAAGGGACTAACAATGATTCATAGGGGGTAAGGGAGGACAACTTATACATCTTTTTAAGTCGCACACGTTTGCAGCCGACGGGGTTTTTGTTCAGCTGTAGACTTAGACGTGTTCCAGACGGCATTCACTCGGCTTGGCTTGATGACGTCAGCTTTTTCCAGGACTGCTTCGAGTCGCAGCGTCGCACTGCCACTGCCTGGCCGGATTGGCCCATCGCAGGCTTCTTACTGCCGAAGAGATCTTTCCAGGCTTCTGAGCTGGACATTCCGTTTCGCCGGCTAACATGTCCCCCCACCGGGGGGGTTTAGTAATAATAATTGTGCAATAATTTTAAAAAATGCTCAGGACCCATTTAGGACTTGTACCCCTTCCCGTGATTAGAGCACTGTCAGTGCATTGGTCAGCTGGACTGCCGTGACAAATTTTTTTCCTATTACTTGGATGTTTTTAATCCTTACTTTGTAGGACGTGATTGGAAAGTCTGTACACCAAGCAGTTTGTGTGCCTTTGTACAAAGCATCAAGAAGGTAGGTTTGGATGCTTTAAAAAACATGTAAATAAATTGTTTTTATTCACACAGTACTGCTGCAGTTTGGTTCTCATTTCTTTCTCTTTCCTTTCAGTGAGGATCCGACACCTCATCTCTTTAAGTTGCCCTTTTTGTAAGTACGTTTGTGTGCTTGTGTTGTTGCAGTCTGTTTATTGTGTGTGTGATTTTTAACTGAGTCTAATGCTTGTCGTTGCAGGTGGAATGATAAAACGTCCAATTTGCATTACATTTTGTTTACAATGTTGGAAAACTCCATTTCTAAAATATATATATTGAGGAGGGACACAGATATTTCAAGGTACAATAACATAAAATGGAGACTTTTTATTTTTTAATATCTAGATGTAATTATACGCAACCACCACTGTGGCATGGAATCAGATGACTTCCATTAGAGGGTTTTAAGTCGGGCAACAATGTGTTTGGCTTGCAAACGCCTTTAGCCATTGGTTGATCTGCTGTGATGTCATCAACATGTTAAAAGATTTATAAACATTCTAATGACTAATTGGGGGGAAGCCTTGGGTTTGGGCAGATAAGACACTAAGAGATCTGTGCTTATTATTATTTATTTATGAGATTTCTGTTCTGCTCTTTCCTGAAGGCTCAAGGCGGATTACAGCAATAAAACAACATATAAAATACATTGCATATAAAAATGCATAACATAATAAAATCTTAACCAGCACTTAGAAATATATAAGATAGTAATATATTTATATTTTTATTTTATTATCTTATATTATTTAATATATTTTATTATCTTATAGTGTAAATAATAATAATGATAATGATAATAATATCTTACCAGCACTGCTTGAATCTTACCAACACTTAATAACATCTATTTTATTATATTGTTTGAATCTTACCAACACTTAGAAATAGGCTTGCCAAGTCCCCCTGGGGGGGCGGGGAAAACCCCGCCCCAGAAGCCCGTTCCCCGCCGCCAGCGGATCGGGCCCCGGGGGGAACCCCACCCCGACGTGCACGTCACCCAGAAGTGACGTGACGCCGCCGAGCGTCATCACGTCACTTCCGGGTGATGTGCATGCGGTGCGCGTGCACACTTCCGGATCAAGCCGGGAGTCCCCCGCTCCGGATACAGGTAACACTTGCCAACCCTACTTAGAAATTATACCTGTGTAGGACTTGTTTTTGGAACCACACCAGAATGGGGGGGGGGCAGGATTAATTGGTAGAATGTTAGACGAATTCACCAGTTGGAACAAATCCCCCCCCCCCCATGTTGTTACCAAGCTAGGAAGGAAAACAGAAAATGGTTTCTGCAGTGCCGGCCTTCCAACTTATTCTTTGCTTTAAGCCACCTCTCAGTCTCCATGTACTTTGTAGCAATTCAGCGGCAACTCACTGGTCTGCTGCCCTCATCTCTGGTTTTCTCCCTTGGAGCTGAGTTTTGCAAATAATAGTAGGATCAGCCTTCAGGTTCTCTGGATAGAGACTAAAAAAAATTAGCTACAAGAAAACGGCAACATCTGCTCCTCCACTAGCAGGCAGGGAAGAAACTAGGCTATTCTTCTAGGGTTTGCAGTACGTCTTCCTAAATCGTGTAATGCCTATGGAAAAACGTTTGACTCACAAAAGTTTAGGCCCTGAAAAACTTGTGTTGGTCTCTCTTTATTTATTCACTAGTTCCATTTGCATCCCGCCCTCCCCACAAACAGGCTCAGGGCGGCTTACGTTCATCGGTACAAAGTACCTTAGAATCCACATAAAACATTTAAAACATTTTAAAACAATCAAATAATCAAAGTGCTCACAGCAATAATCATTCCTTCGTTAATTAAGATGGCGTGCTATATGATGTAATAAGCAAATTTCCGATTCAGCGATCTTCCGGCATCACATGATGGTATGGCTTGATCTCCAAGCTGGGGCCAGCCCTTTACCACAAATGTTGGTGGTAGTAGTGGCGGCTCCTAATTGAAAGCCTGGTGGAAGAGCTCTGTCTTGCAGGCCCTGTGGAACTGTAGAAGATCCTGCAGGGCCCTGATCTCTCCTGGGAGCTCATTCCACCAGTATAGAGCCGCCACTGAAAAGGCCCTGGCCCTGGTGACAGCGAGCCTGGCATCCTTAGGGCCTGGGATAGTTAATCAATGTTGTGACCCTGACCGTAGTGTTCTCTGGGGTATAAGGTGCTTTAAAGTGCTACCAGGCTCTCATTTGGTTCTTTTACTACAGACTAACACCACTACCCAACTGAAACACTAATGTCTCTGTAGAATATTGGAAATTGGTTGACACAGTGATTTTTTCACCCTTTAGGTCTGCTGGTAATGGAATACTTGCTATTGAGTTTGTCAGCTTCGCAAACAATAATACTAATGAAAGCTCAGGTGTAAGGTTAGTACAATTTCAAGACTGAATAATGTCCCAGCTGGCAAAGTAGCGGTAACCTTCTTCATCAAATGAGAATGTATTACTTGGTTTTTATGCAAAACCTCTTCCTAGAATAAGAAATTATCTGGAAGGCTTAATATTGGGGAGTTAAGGGTGCTTATTATAAACATTGACTCAGACTGCATTCATTTCTGTGCAGACTGCAGAATCAAATAATCCAATAGCTCTCAGTACCAAAATATTGTCATCTAAATGAAACAGAGAATGTGACTCAGTGCTTAGTTCTCTTGGCCCTTTCTTACATGCCCAGGGAAATGCTGATCGTCACTTTGGGGTCAGGAAGCAATTTTTCTCCAGGCCAGTCTGGCTGGGGATCCTGGAGGGATTTTTTACATTTTCTGGACATGGAGGTGTGTGGGGGAGGTATTTGTGAATTTCCTGCCTTGTGCAGGGGGTTGGACTAGATGACCCTAGAGGTCCCTTCCAATTCCGTGACTTTCCTAAGATGGCATGTGGAAGTGGTGGTGAGATCAACATGGCGGGCGATCAACACGGCAACTTCCATTTTTGCAAGAGTGGCATGAGGCCTATATTTTGCCTATTTAGTACTTATCTTTGACTGGCAAAAATGGGGGTCATACTAATTCAGTTCGGGGGTCAAATATAAATAGTGACTAAAAAAAACTCTTGAAGATTGCCCTGAGAATAAAGCCAGCTGCAAGATCATTAAAAGTATCTCTTCGGTAGCTGACTAAAGACAAACAGACAGGCATTAATCACAACTATTCAGAATTTGATAAGATACTGATAGGTGCGGGAGATAAACTTCTCCGAAAATTATACAATTTTCTATTAGACCAAAAGATGCAAGATGAAGAAGTTAAACCTTTAATGATAACTTGGGCTAGAAATATAGGCCATAATATTGAATGAGTCAAATGGGAAAAAATGTGGCAAAATATGAGAAGAATGAAAGCAACTTCTATGAAAGAAAATCTTTTTAAAATGTTTCACCGCTGGCACTTAACCCCAGCGGTGTTAGCACAATGTTATCCTAACTTTTCAGACAGATGTTGGAAATGTAAAGTTGAAAAGGGTACTTATTTCCATGCCTGGTGGTCTTGCCTCAAAACTCAAAGATTCTGTAAAGAGATTCATGCTGTTATTGTTCAGATAATTAATATGTCAATTCCGTTTGAGCCTGAGATATTTTTGTTAAATATTGTGCCCGACAACCTCAAGAAGGTAGATGTACACCTGATTAGTCACTTACTTACGGCACCTAGGATGCTGTTTGCAAAAGGCTGGAAGCAGGAAGATATACCATCCAGAAAGGATTTTATAGTTAAAATTGCAGAAATAGCAGAATTGGACAACTTGACAATGAAGCTTCAGGGGAAAGAAGATGATGTTTTTGATAGCATTTGGTTAAAATTTTACAGATAGTTAGAGAAGAATGTTTAGATGTGTATATAGATTCTTAGTAATTTGATTGAGCGTGTTGTTGTCCAGAGCAGAGATATAACTCCCTTTTAAGGAATCCAAATGTTTATGTTGTTTGTCTCTAATATCAATAAATATCATTTTTTTAAAAAGGTATCTCTTTGGGAGGACTGGTACAGAATAGCAGCAAAAGACACCAGGGAGAAAATGTAAAGAAAATATGTAATTTTATTGTCTCCTTTACCCCACATACTTATTTCAGTTTCTCCATCAGAAATTATGTGACAGTTTATTAAAAGAAAATCTGAGTGGGGCAAGGGAAAGGACTGAGACACTGCTGGAAAATTGACCTCACTAAGGTAGAGAGGAATACAAGGAGTTTATAGAACAAAGTGTGAGTCCAGTGGCACCTTTAAGACCAAGAAAGTTTAATTCCAGGTATACTCTTTCGTGTGCTCATACACGAACGCTTATACCCAGAATTAAACTTTGTTGGTCTTGAAGGTGCCACTGGATTCAAACTTTGTTCTGTTGCTTCAGACCAACACGGCTGCCCACCTAGATCTGCCTTCAAGGAATTAATAGGTAAATGGTCCTGAGATGGCTAGGCCAATCTTGTCAGATTTTGGAAGCTAAGCAGGGTCGGCCGTGGACCTCAGCGCTTGGATGGGAGACCACCGAGGAAGTCCAGAATCACAACGCAGAGGCAGGCAGTGGCAAACCACTTCAGTTCATCTCTTGCCCTGAAAACCCTACAGGGTTATCGTAAGTTGACCGTGACTTGACAGTTCTTTCCGCCACATAGGTTTCCTGTTTCTCCAGGTCTGTTTTGTCCCACTTTTTCGTGTATCGGTTCTCTGTATTGTTTTACCCTGATGATACTTTTAAGGACAGGAAGCTATTGAGCCCACTGTGGTTTTCTTTCTTTTTTTAATTCAATTTTTAAATTATTTTCTCATACAAAATAATAAGATATAACAATTTGACGAACATCAAAAAAATATAGTGCAATGACGATTTACGTAACAACTGTGGAATTGACATATTACATAACAGAATTATACATTTGATCAATTTAACAGAATTATACATTTGATCAATTTCTACATCACTGGTGTGTCATCTGTTTCAAAAATGCAGTAAGTTTTTAAGATGCTCATTTTTGGGGATGATTTCACCTTCTGCAAGGTATTGAACCACCGGGAACCAAACAGCTTGAAAGATTTTTGCATTCTCTTGTGTTTGTTGATAAGTCATTTTCCCATATATAAAATGTTCCCATAATTTGTTTTGCCAGTCAGATATGCTTGGGATGGTTTTTCCTTTCCATTGTGCTTTTCTTGATGATGGAAACAAGCTTGACAGGCATTGAAATGCCCTTTCCCATGTCTTGCTTGCAGCTTCTACAGTTGTCTCGATGCCCACTTCTACGATGACGAGACCATAACTGTCATTCTCACAGAGAATTCCAAGCAAGAGGGGAAGGAGAGAATTCTGGCCCAGCTGCCTTTATCATCTGTATATACAAAGGAAGCTCAGGAAGTAGAGTTCACCTGGAATTCTGGTCAAAGGTGCTAACTGGAGTCCTCTGTCTAGGGTTATATTTTCCAAATTCTATACGAGAGGGATACAGACAACTCATAACTGGTCAGCTAAATGACTGGATGGCCTTTTTGTGCCACGTTGTGTGTATAGAATAGTATATATTGTGTGCCACATTAATTCTGTGTTAAAACACATAATGTTAGAAGAGGTAGAAGGACTTCTTCACTCAAAGAGTCATTAACATGTGGAATTCACTGCCACAGGAAGTGGTGGTGGCTACAAGCATAGACAGCTTCAAGAGGGGATTGGATAGACACAGGGGTCATTTTGTAGAAAAAGCGGTGCAGGAGCTCATTATCATAACTCATTAGCATAACTTATTTGCATATGCCACACCCCCTGACATCACCGGAAGTGTGTCAGAAGGCAACACCCACCGCTCAGGCTCCACTGGACTGTTTTGGTTTGCTAGCTATTGGGGGGGGGGACGTGCAGTTCTGTCCTCACAGAGGAGGGAGAGCTTGTACCTGAATAAAACTTGGTCTTAAAGGTGCCACTGGACTGTTTTGGACCGGGGGTGGGTGGGGGCTCTACAACTTACCTGGCTGCTTCTTGCTCTGCCTGAAAGCTGCGGGGGGTGGGGCTTCTTGCCTGTGCCCGCCCCCTGGGCTCTTTACTGCCGGAGCTCCGCTCCTGCAGGAAATGACCCCTGGATAGACATATGGAGCAGAGGTCCATCAGTGGCTATTAGCCACAAAGTATAGATGGAGCACTATGTCTGGGGCTGTGATGTCTTGTATTCTTGGTATTCGGAGGGCAACAGCAGGAGGGCTTCTGGACTTCTGGCCTCGCTGGGGACCTCCTGATGGCACCTGGGTTTTGGCTACCACGTGACACAGAGTGTTGGACTGGCTGGGCCATCGGCCTGATCCAGCATCGCTTCTCTTATGTTCTTATGTCTGGGGCAGTGATGCTCTGTATTCTTGGTGCTTGGGGGGGCAACAGTGGGAGGGCTTCTGGAGTTCTGGCCCCGCTGGGGGAACCTCCTGATGGCCCCTGGGTTTTGGCTACCGTGTGACACAGAGTGTTGGACTGGCTGGACTCTGCCTCAGTTGTAAGGCATTGTATGAAAGCGGCGTGTAAAGTTTCGGATTTTATTTAGAATTAAGAATCGGTTGTTGACTTCCCTGTGTTTTGTTCTTGGGTCTCCGCTAGGTTGGATGAGCAAGCCGATGGCATTCCTACCCGTACCATCAGCATCGAGAGTCAGTGGCGAGTGCTGGAGAACATGAAAGCCCAGTACGTGGCCGTGAATGGCATTCGGAAAGTTTCCTGCGTGGTAAGCATCGTGCTGACAGCTCTTTAGGGCCACCAGCTCTGGGTTGAGGAACACCTGGGAATTTGGGGGGTGGAGCCTGAGGAGACCGGGGTCTGGGGAGGGGCGGGACCACAGTGGGCTAATGCTATACAGTTCGCCTCCCAAAGCAGCCAGTTTCTCCCAGGGAACTCATCTCTATTGGCTGGAGGTCAGTTCTAATAGTGGGAGATCTCCCAGGCCCCACTTGAAGATCTTGCTGTCTGATCTGAGGAACATTAACACAAGAAAGTTCAGTGGGCCCTTCCTCCCAAGGAAAATGTACATAGAATCACAGCCAGGGCTATTTTGGGGGCAGGAATGAAAAAAATGCACAGGAACAGAGTTCTGGCTGGCTCCCGAGTTGGCCACGCCCAGCAGGAACTAATTAGCATGATAGGCCACACCCAACAGCAGAAACTCGTTAGGATTGGCTACATTAGGGGTGTGTGGCCTAACATGCAAAGGGGTTCCTGCTACAAAAAAGCCCTGGGTTTTGATCACAAACAAGGTAAACAGAATAAGAAGCAAAAGGTGGGTGTGGCTGGATGACCACACTTCTGGTAACATGGGGTGTGTGGCCTAATATGCTAATGTGCTGCCAGGGTGTGGCCATATATGCTAATGAGTTTCTGCTGTTGGGTGTGGCCTGTTAGGCTAATGGGTTCCTGATGGACTTTTTCCTGGTACCACAAATGAAGCGATGAAACTGCCAAAAGAGATGAACGGGTTTAATGGCAGAAGAATGGACTGTAGTTCAGAGTAAAATCAAACTTCTCTGTCAGGGGAACTTTATGGAGACTTGAATCTGTTTTGAAAACCTTACACTTTTTTAATCTGCTTTTTAAATATTGTAGATATAAACAATTTCCTGAAGACGTGTTTCCATCACCACCACACAAATTACATTTGTTGCTTTTTGAAGGGCTTAAAATTAATTACTTGTGCCAAATAACTTGTGATTCAGGCCTTAGTGAGGGAAAGGGGAGTTCTGTGTCACACTTGGACCCATTTCACACAAGAGCTGCGCCGCAGTCGCGCCTCCCTTTGCCCCACTTCTATTGGTCACTTTCCCACTCGAAGCCGCGCGGCCGCATTTTCACCCGCGGCTTCGCCCAATTTTCCCCGCGGTTTTGTGATCCTGGTTTTTGGGGATCCCGAAACTGTGGGGAAAATTGGGCAAAACGCGGCCGTGCAGCTTCGAGTGGGAAAGTGACCAATAGAAGTGGGGCAAAGGGAGGCGCGACCAGCTCTTGTGTGAAATCAGTCTGGGAGTGCTTCCGGGCAACGTAGGACAGAACAAATGTAACTTGTGATTCTGAAAGGTATAAATCCTGAAATGTGAACTCTAAATCCACCATGATGTGGAAGCCTCTGGAAAGGCTGCTGTGTGGCAGTGGTTCCATGAGAAGAGCCCTGTTGGGTCAGACCAGTGGTCCATCTAAATCCAGGATCCTGTCTCATATGTTCCTCTAGAGGGCCAACAACAGGGCATAGAGGCCGAGGCCTTCCCCTGATAAGAGCATCAGAAGAGCCCTGCTGAGTCAGACCAGGGAGGGTCCATCTAGTCCAGCCTCCCATCTCACACAGGGGCCAGCCAGTTCCTCTAGAGGGCCAGCAACAGGGCAGAGAGGCCGAGGCCTTCCCCTGATAAGAGCATCAGAAGAGCCCTGCTGAGTCAGACCAGGGAGGGTCCATCTAGTCCAGCCTCCCATCTCACACAGGGGCCAGCCAGTTCCTCTAGAGGGCCAGCAACAGGGCAGAGAGGCCGAGGCCTTCCCCTGATAAGAGCATCAGAAGAGCCCTGCTGAGTCAGACCAGGGAGGGTCCATCTAGTCCAGCCTCCCATCTCACACAGGGGCCAGCCAGTTCCTCTAGAGGGCCAGCAACAGGGCAGAGAGGCCGAGGCCTTCCCCTGATAAGAGCATCAGAAGAGCCCTGCTGAGTCAGACCAGGGAGGGTCCATCTAGTCCAGCCTCCCATCTCACACAGGGGCCAGCCAGTTCCTCTAGAGGGCCAGCAACAGGGCAGAGAGGCCGAGGCCTTCCCCTGATAAGAGCATCAGAAGAGCCCTGCTGAGTCAGACCAGGGAGGGTCCATCTAGTCCAGCCTCCCATCTCACACAGGGGCCAGCCAGTTCCTCTAGAGGGCCAGCAACAGGGCAGAGAGGCCGAGGCCTTCCCCTGATAAGAGCATCAGAAGAGCCCTGCTGAGTCAGACCAGGGAGGGTCCATCTAGTCCAGCCTCCCATCTCACACAGGGGCCAGCCAGTTCCTCTAGAGGGCCAGCAACAGGGCAGAGAGGCCGAGGCCTTCCCCTGATAAGAGCATCAGAAGAGCCCTGCTGAGTCAGACCAGGGAGGGTCCATCTAGTCCAGCCTCCCATCTCACACAGGGGCCAGCCAGTTCCTCTAGAGGGCCAGCAACAGGGCAGAGAGGCCGAGGCCTTCCCCTGATAAGAGCATCAGAAGAGCCCTGCTGAGTCAGACCAGGGAGGGTCCATCTAGTCCAGCCTCCCATCTCACACAGGGGCCAGCCAGTTCCTCTGGAGGGCCAACAACAGGGCGTGGAGTCCAAGGCCTACCCCTGGCACTGGGATTCAGAGGTTGACTGCCTCTGTTCCATTTGGTAGCTGTAAGGGGTCATCTTCACAAAAACAGTGTTTTCAGGGCTTTTTTGGTAGAAAAAGCCCAGCAGGAACTCATTAGCATAATAGGCCACACCCAACAGCAGAACTCATTAGCATATTAGGCCACACCCCTGACAGCACTGCTCATTGGCATATTAGGCCACACCCCGCATGTTCCCAGAAGTGTGGTCATCCAGCCACACCCACCTTTTGCTTCTTATTCTGTTTACCTTGTTTGCTGTGGAAACCTAGGGCTTTTTTGTAGCAGGAACTCCTTTGCATGTTAGGCCACACACCCCTAATGTAGCCAATCCAAATGAGTTTCTGCTGTTGGGTGTGGCCTATTATGCTAATGAGCTCCTGCTGGGCGTGGCCAACTTGGAAGCCAGCCGGGACTCCGTTCCTGTGTGTTCCTGCCCAAAAATAGCCCTGAGTGTTTTGATCCGAGGGCCAATTACCAATAAAGACGAGTTAAGCTGGCACAGAAACACTGCACATGAGAGAAGCGATCCATGTGGTGTGGTGTTTCTAGATTTGGGCCACTGGGTGAAGCCACTGCTACGAAGATGCATTTCCTGTGGCTTCCGACTGGGCAGTCACAACACAAGAGTTAACATCCAGAGTCTGTGTGCAACCGGAAAGCTATCAAGAAAATGAGAATGGTGCTACTGCTTTGACTCCTCGTAATGATGCCACAGAGTTGAAAAATAGAATGCAACGTTGCTTTGTGCTGGAACGCCACAGCAATGTGAATACTGGAATCACTTTTTTACTTTTTTACTTTTTCAGTTTTTTATTGAAAGTCTTGAACAAATACCATTAACAATGTAAACAACAATTGAACTAGGCAGTAAATAAGATACACCCAAACTTCAGATAACACACAACTTTGCATTAATACATCCAGCCTTTCAGCTCTCTAGTATATTTAGTAAACCCCACGAAACCTGCCACGAGCAAGTTAATTCAGATTATATTTAGCTCTGTTCATTACAGAAGACCTAAGCAGCTCAATGATCCCGTTTTATATCAGAAGCGTAACCAAGAAAGATAAGAAGTGTTTGTTGGAACGCAATGTTCCCTCTAAGCTGTGGAGTCTTGTGAGCAAAAATTCTACTCTGTGAGCTACTGGCATTAAAGTCGTGAGTGAACAATTTGGCTACTGCATAAATGAGTTTGCTCTGGAGCCATCCTTCCTGAGCGAAGACAAAAATGTGTGAGCCAGAGGCTAAAAACCTGTGAGCTAGCTCACACTAACTCAGCTTAGAGGGAACACTGGACTTGGAAGTACGTTCTTGTTTGCCATATACTGAAGTAACCGAAACCAAATGGACTCAAAGTGAGAAGCCACGGAGGACGAACCTCCATTCGCTAATTGAATGACATTTGTGATTTTAGCTACAATAAACTGGTCCCATATCTTATTTTAACATTGAAGAAGCAGTTTCTGGGGTCTTAAAGCACTTTTTGACAATATTTGTTTTTGAGCTTAAACACCTTGTCATTAGTTTAATAGTGCATCTCTTCACTAATCAGTTTGGTGTAGCAGTTAGGAGTGCAGACTCTAATCTGGGAGAACTGGGTTTGATTCCCCACTCCTCCACATGCAACTGCTGGTCTGACCTTGGGTCCGTGACAAGTTCTTTCAGAGCTGTTCTCGCACGAGCAGTTCTCGAGAGAGCTCTCTCAGGCCCACCGACCTCACAGGGTGTCTGTTGCAGGGAGCTGCTCTTAGATTGTAAGCTGCTCTGAGACTCCTTCAGGCAGGGAAGGGCGGTGTATAAATCCAATCTCTTCTCTTCTTGTTGTTCTGAGGATAAAATGGAGTAGGTCCATATCCGGCCAAAAGTGGGGTATAAGAAATGTAAATTTTTTTTAAAAAAAAATCAGCTGTAACAAAATATAGACAATAACAAATATTTAATTTTTTGTACAATAATTTTATTGAGTTCAAACAAATATCATGCATTTACAACGAGAATCGGTGTACAGAACAGACATATTAGTGGTCTTTGAATAGAAAGAATTAGCAATGCTTGTGAAGTAGAATGCTATATTCATATATAACCGTGCACAGAAGTTACAAAACGTAGTTAACCAAGTGACATATGTATCTTTACCCTAGTATTTAAAATTTGGATTTGTAGTCATCATCACTGAGTATCCATAAGTGAGATGATGGTACGTTATTTACCACAAGTGTAATACATCAATTTCTTTGGGAGTGTCCTCAAATTGATTTAGGTATTCTAATATAGGGAGCCAAACACAGATAAATGTTGAAGGAGCGGGAATTTTATCAAAATGCGTAAGGTTATCCAAGAGTTTTGCCATGATATATAAATCCCACAATTTTTTGTGCCATTGTGAAATTGTGGGTGTCATTGACGTTTTCCAGTGGGTGGCAATGACCGTTTTGCTGCAAAAAGCAGTATAGAGACCCTCTCCACCACTGAAGGAGCAGAGGTATGAGCTACCCAACTGTTCAAAAATAAGTTTTCTGGAGTAGGAGTCATATCCACATCGTGGAAAGATTTGATCTGGTTGTATACAGCTTCCCAAAAGGACAGGATACCCAACAATGTAGATATGTGCCCCTAACAGTTTTTCCAGCAATTGGGGTTATATGTTTGAGTCAACAAACATTTATTTTTAATTGATGGTTATAGACAATGTTCCCTCTAAGCTGTGGAGTCTTGTGAGCAAAAATCGTACTTTGTGAGCTGCTGGCATTAAAGTTGTGAGCGGGAGATGTGACTACTGCATAAATTAGTTGGCTCTGGAGCCATCCTTTATGAGTGGAGACAAAAATGTGTGAGCCAGAGGCTAAAAAACTGTGAGCTAGCTCACACTAACTCAGCTTAGAGGGAACACTAGTTATAGATATGAAACAAGCGTTCTTCCTCATACTGCATAAGCTGCTCTGAGACTCCTTCAGGGTAGTGAAGGGCGGGGTATAAAGCCAATCTCCTCCTCTTCTTCTTTTCCCCAGCTAAGTTCAAACCTCCGGCACGTGCGAGTGTTCGAAATGGACGTCGAAGACGACGGAGAAGCTGAGGAGGAAGAGGAGGATGAGACGGCCCAGCTTGCAGGGAGCTCGGAGCCCAACCAGACTGCAGACAATCCCGATGGCGGCATTTGCCTAGGCGCTGCTCAGCAAGCTGGTGAAACAGAAGAACGCGAAGCGAGCCTGGATGCCTGAGAACGAACTCTCACGCCTGTGTCTTGCAATCCAGAGGGAAGGACTAGACTTTTTTATACCAAGCAACTTCACCGGCACATTTCTCCTTTTTGGGTGGGGAGAAGTGTTTGTCAAACAGATATTGCGTTTACAGCTGCATTACTTGTGAATCAGTGCAGGGAAAGAGATGAAACCAGATTTGCCTCCCACTAATCCTGCAAAATTGTTTTGCTCCTTTAAAGTTCCTGACCCGCCGGGGCCATGCCTCCCCTCCTTGACCCCTCTTGTTCCTCCTCCACCTTCTCTCCCTCCCACTTTTTCCTTGCCGCATTCCTATTTCCTGGTCTCCACTGCTCAGCTGTTTTTGCAGTTTTCACTGGGAACAGAAAGCAGGGGTTTAAAGGGACTTGGAGGACCTTTAAACCCCTGCTTTCTGCTCCATCCATAAACCGCTTTAAAAGTTCAGGGAAGTCTGTGATGGAAGACCCATCATGAACTTCTGTTTGCAAAGCACGAACAGGGCAAAATTGGTGACGATTCTTGCTTCATGGTTCAGTTCGGGCCCATCCCTAGTTAGTAGTACTCTAATGGCTTGTTCCTAGCTATTTGTATACAGAATGCTCCATTTGTGGTGAAGAGGCTTTGTTCAGAGGCCAGATTCCACTGGACTACTAAAACCATATCAACAGTGGGGTTAGATTTAGGCAGTTATGCTCCGTGCTGAGCCCTAGACTCACAGGGCCTTTCCACAAACAAGTGGTTTGGGGGGGAGGCTGTTACACAATTGTGAGTGAGGACTTGCTTTCAACAACAATCTTCATCTTAACAGTTGCTAATATAGCCCTCTACATGCTTGCTCCGAAAAAAAGCATTGTGGACATACCACAACAGCTTACTTGTACTGCTGGTACGGAGCTGACAAAATAAGTTACGCAAAAGAGTCCACAGCTTTGGATAGCTTCAGCCTAGCCGTTTCCTATTTCTCACCCATAGTCCCTGCAAAATAACATGCATAATTTAACCATGTCATGGGATCATTAAGAGTCTGAGCAAGATGTAAATTGCTGAGTACTTTAGAGCTCTGATAGAACTTTGGTTCCCAAGGCCCACGTTGTCTACCCATCATCTCTTTATTTATATATTATTTATTTGTTCGTTTGATTTCTATCCCGCCGTCCCAAAGGCTCAGGGCGGTTCACAGACGGCGAAGCCGAAGTATAAAATACAATAAAACATACAATAAAATACAATATTTAAACCACAATAATTATCCTATAACACGGTGCTATAATATTCAACCAAGATGCTATGCTGTCTGTAATTTCTGCCAGGGCATACCTGCCCCCCTTTTCGTGGGGCAGCCGATGACATACTACCTCGGTGGTAGGATAGTGGCGGCGGCGGCTCCTACTCGAAAGCCTGGCGGAAGAGGTCCGTCTTGCAGGCCTCTTGGGTCTTAAGTTGCTGTCCCATCAGCATAACAGCCATTCTGCCAAGAACGGCCTTTCTGTTGCTAGAAGAGAAGACAATTTCTGCCAGTTTTGCCCCCACACCGTTCCTTGGGGGTTCGCTGACTCACAGGAACACAATTTCAAGGGAGGGAGAGCAACGTGAGGCAGTTGCTTTCCTCTCACAACTAACTCGTGCTGCTTCAGACCCCATCCATAGTAGCTAGCCAGATCTCTCAAAGAAGCCCACAAAAATGGCTACATAAATTGGCCCCAATAATGTATAACACGTGTCCCTAGCCTTTTTGAGCTAGTGAGCACCTTTGGAATTGTGAGACAGTGTAGTGGGCACAGCCACAGAAGGGTTGCCACAAAATGGCTGCCACAGGAGGCGGAGTAAGCCACAAAATGGCTGCCACATCTTACCTTCCATCACACAGTAAAGATCCTTGTGCGGTGGTGGCAGCTGCTGCTACCAAAGCAACATTTTTTAAAAAACTGCACAGCCAATCACTGCCCCCCACATGCCCCACCCACTTTTTAGCACTTGGCACCTAGGAAGGGGTCAGCAACTGCCTTCGCACCCATGAATACCCCAGCTTTACCAAATTCTTCATTTACAAAATTGATTTTTCAGAACGTCTGCCACTTGTGAACTCACAAAGCTGGATCCATGCGGAGTAGAAACCACCATGCAGGAAAGCAGAGCACATAGCTTAAAATAGGAAGGCATCGTTGATGACCCAGTAATTCCCCCTTTTGTCTTAATTAAATCGATTAAATCAACTCTTGTTTTTATGCAACTGGTTTTCTAACAGTCCTTTCCAGTAGCCCTGTGTTAGCAAAGCAAGCGTCCCGAAATGAACCCAAGCCTTTCCCTCCCTCTTTTGCCGAATAACTGAAGATAAGTGTAAAGAGCAAAGGTCATGGCACACATTATAGTTTAGTTAGTTTTAGACTGAAATGGCGGCTAGGCCTACCATTTCCTTAAACAATCAGCTTCTTGTACTAATCTAAAGTGTTAACTGAAGAATCATAAACTTTATTGCTTCAGTGTATACATAGCTAGGATTCCTTCTACGAACTTCCCTGTAAAGGGAAGACAGTATAAGTAGTTCTTTTTCTTTCTTTCTTTCATTTTTTTTTTTTTGGGGGGGGGGAGACAGGAATCAGCAAGTTTTTTGTTAGGATTCATTTGACAACTCAATTAGAGTGTGCGGAAAACCACAGAGGAAGAAAAGGCTAAAAGCAAGGCCCAAGATGTGGGTTATCTGGGGTTGGAAAGAGCAGGACCCAGGCTCTTTGAGGCTGATTGGCTCCCCATCTTATGTTGATACTCAACCACTAGGCTTACCAGCCTCCAGGTGATGGCCAGAAATCTCCCGGGATTACAACTGATCTACAGGTGAACAAGATGGAGAAAATGGCTGCTTTGGAAGGTGGATTCTATGGTCTTCTACCCCATTGAAGGTCCCTCCCCACCCCAAACCCTTTTCTCCCCAGACTCCACCCGCCAAAACTCCAGGAATTTCCCAACACAGAGCTGGTGATCAGCCACATTTAAATATGGATCAAGATGGGTCGCCATTTTAGTCTGTCGGCAGCAGTAGAAAAGAGCAAAAGTCCAGTAGCAGCTTAAAGACTGACAGAATTGGTGGCAGGGGAGGAGCTTTCGTGAGTCACTGCTCAGTTCTTCAGATACGGGTTGTGTTGGCCAGGGTATGAGTTGGGTAGGCTTGGGAAGGAATCCAATAACATCAATTGGCTGAGGCTATTCCACACTCTACAATGAGGGGGCGCTACTATGCCGTGGGTGAGCAGCTAAGGAGCTCCAAACACCCCCCACCTGTCGAGTTGCCTGCCAGCTGCACCTTCCCGATGAAGGAGAACATGATTGTCTCATTGCCATTGTTCTTTTTGTCTGAGCCTGACCAACCCCTGAAAAGAGTATGCTTTTTGCTCAGTAAGTAGTGCCCAAGCAGATTCTAACATCTCTAGTACTGAAGCCATACTGTAGAGCAGTCCTTGGCCCTGACCTGAATAACCCAGGCTAGCCAGATCTTGGAAGCGAAGCAGGGGTGGCCCTGGTCAATACTTGGATGGGAGACCACCAAGGAAGTCGGCATTGCTATGCAGGGGCAGGCCATGGCAAACCACCTCTGTGTGTCTCTAGAAAACCTACAGGGTCACCATAAATCAGCTGTGTAAATCACACTCACACAAAGATAGTTCCAGGTGGACAGCCATGTTGGTCCGAAGCAGCAGCACAAAGTTTGAGTCCAGTGGCCCCTTTAAGACCAACAAAGTTTTATTCAGGCTATAAGCTTTCTTGTGCCAACACACTTTCTTAGATACAGTGAAACAGACATTCCTCAACCATTACATGTAGAAAGAGAGAGGGTGGAGTGAGGGTTTAGTTGCTTGGCAGGGCTAATTGTCACAGCACTGGCCAGAAATATTAGATACCAACAATACATACTTTTGTGCCCCCCTGTCCAGCACGATTCTTCCTGTTGTATCTGTGACATATAGAAATTCCACAAAATTCTTGAAAAGTACGCAGACGGAGAGTGATTTCAGCAAAGCGTAGTTTATTCGATCAGGAACAAGACGACTTTGGCCGGCTCGCAGGCTGGCTTATATCCCCCGAGAAACCGCCACCCAAAACACACCCCTACTTCCCAATAGGTTATTTACAGTGGCCGAGAGTCCCATAGGCTCTCGGCCGGGAACCTAGCCCCTTGATTGGAGTGGGCTAGGATCCGCAGAGTCCATTGTCTCTTGGAGCGAAGCTCGACGTTTGTCTCTGGATTTGTCTGGACTTGTCTGGACTGGATACATTACAATTCTCCTTGATGTCCACTGATTTGCTGTTAACAAAGAGTGGGGGAAATGTGTGCGAACAGAGTGAGCAAGTTGTCCCTTGGCACCTGAGGCAGCATCCATCCCCATCGAGTAATAAAGTTGCAGTTCCGCTTACTGTGGTGTGAAGTTTGTAGTGGAGAAAAAAACCCACACACACACTTGTTTCACAGTAGGGTTGGACCTCAGCATGTGCCCCACCCCACCCACAGCTGATGCTGGCAGTGTGCACTGCTCTCCCGAGGAGTTCAAAGTGGGGCATTGTGGGTTTATCTCCTCCATTCCGGCATGCTGAATGGATAGCCCAAAGAACGTGGTACTGCTCTGCTCAGCCAGAAGAGGGCGCTGCAGTAACAGTGGAGAAGTACACCCAAATCATAAAACATACCCCATCATTAAAAAATTTGTCTTTTTTCTTCCACATCATCACCACTGAGAAGCATTTTGTCTTGGCTAAAGTAGTTCTTGGATCGTCATCCTTTAATAAACATGGTACACATCTTAGTAATTTCCGACGCCGAACAACAATAGCAGGCCTGGCATTTACCTGCTGTAGATAACTCTATGACAATATACCCCACTGAAGCCCCTCTGTTATGTACGCGGACCGCCACCAGGGGTCCGCGGCTAAAGCAGGAGCTGGGTCCCCAAACACAAAGGGGACCTAGGATCCAAGTCCACCGGGAGTCCACCAATAGCACCCTTGGCGGGAGATTCAAACCCTCCAATGGGGACAGAGGTGTGCTGGGTGGAGTGTATATAGTTGGCTTTGCAGGGTCGTTTTGTGTGTCTTGTGAAGTACGATAAATGCATCTGAACGCATGTCGTGGTCCGAGTCCTCCATGCTTCGAACCCAGCACTTTTCACCCTCCCTTCCCCAAATGCTCCACCCCCCAAATCTCCAGGTATTTCCCAACCCAGTGCTGGCAAACCCCTTTCCAAAGAGGCCCTCCTTTCTCACCCTACGCTGGAAAAGGAAGTGCTCTTCTTTTGGGATGCTAATTCTGACTGAAGGTATTTTTAATGCGAAACA